TAGTCTCTTAGGTGACTGAGATGGGCAATTATTTTGGCACCAGTAGTTTAGGTCAAGAAACAGTAGATCTATTAGATTGTAAATCTGACATCACTGTGATGAAACACCTTTGTTTTTACAGCCTACCTTGGCATTGCTATTGTTTTTTTTTTTACTGTTGTTGTTGTTGTAGGAAGCACCTTTTGGCTTTTTTAGCTGTGCTATATACTGAGCACTGAGCCAAAAGTTGAGTGAGCGAGAATGAGTGAAAGACACACATAGAGTGGAGAGAGAGAGAGAGAGAGAGAGTCGCTCTACCGGCTTGCCTGCTCATTGAGCACACCATCAGTCTTTACTGGGAAATCTATGTACCTGAACAATGTCTTCTCTAGAACAACAAGTGATGAGCCTGGCTTCATCTGCAGAGAATGAGAGAGAGCGAGGGGGTGATGGCGTGAGGGTGAGAAAGAGAGACAGCGAGAGGAAATTGTGAGCAGTTAAAAAGAGAGGGAGAGCACTGGAGAAGAGAAAACAAATGCATCTCATTACCTAAGCGGGCTCCTCTGCAGTGCTCTCCTCAGCCATCAGTGTCCACACAGCTCCAATTGCTTCCTTTAAATCAGTTTGAAGCCCAAGCCTTGCCCCATCTGTCTCGGTGTGAAGCCCCTCGCTCCTCACTGCCGAGCTGCACACAGCAATAACGCCCCCTAGTGCCTACAAACTCCAGGGAGCAACTGGCAACCTGAACAACACCACTGAGGCTCATTACCATGTGGCAATCCTCACTAGCTATTTCTTCAGTTTATTTGTTAGGGGTTTTTTCTGTAGTGAAATTAAGGATTTGATATTGTATTGGTTATGTAACTTTGCCCCTTTAAGAAAAAACTGATGATCATGTCATCCAGCATAATTTGAGAATGTTCCACAGAATGTCTTATGCTTTGAAGGAAACCACAAAAGTAGTAATTATCACAAATTATATTATTTACCTTTGAATTTATGAAGTAATGTTATGTGGCTGAGAAGGGTAAACAGTATGACCTCACTGTGATGAAACACCTTTGTTTTTACAGGCTGTCTTGGCATTGCTATTGTTTTTTGCTAGTGTTGATGTAGGAAGCTTTGCTATATATCAAGCACCAAGCCAAAAATGAGCATCAGTTTATGCTTATCACAAATTATCTTATTTGACCGCAACTTAAAGTGACTGTGACTTTTCTTTTATTTATTTATTTATTAGAAAAATATAGGAAAACATATTTAAAAAAAGTAAATATTGTAATAGTATATAGAAAGTGTATTTTTTTATAATTTTATATTTTTATAATATGCTATTTATTGTAGTGCATAATTATACATTTATGCATATAAATATTTGACAATTAATTATGTATTTTCTAAATATTTTCTAATGTTTTTATAATATGCTATTGCAGTGAATAGTTACATTTTATATATAGGTTTTTATGTTTTTTATATTTATACATAGAAATGTTTTTTTTTTTTCATTTATATTATTATTTCATTTTATAGAGAAACAAAAACAATAAGTTCTCTCATGTGCGTATAAACAATAAGTATCAAGTACATATAAAAAAAATGCATGGTTAATTGAAATTTTAATTGTTTAATCATAATGCTATTTTCATCTAAGCTGTTGCTGTTCAGACTATTACACAGAAAGCTGTCAGACTTCATTGTGCAAGTTAAGAGTTTAATGCACCGTTCACTCAGGATGTGTTCTTTCTTTTGGTCCATATTTTAACTGTTGTGTCAGACTTAAATTTTTCCCTTTTAATAGTTCAGCTTTTTGGTTTTACACCGTCTAGGTTTTTAAATGCTAAAGCGCTTCCTGAGCTCATAAGCAGGATTTTATGATTTTCCTTATACATTGTACAACCAAAAATGATCCCGTTTCACACTTTTCCATCCAATATCGAGCTCACAGTGGGTAAACTCTGCTACCAGGGTAAACTTGGACAGTGGCACATTTGAGTTCGATTCGTTTGAACAGAGCACAAAAACTGATTTTCACTCTCTCTCGTCAAAAGTGCCGGGAAGAGCTCTGTTGCCCCGAGCGATGCAGGGGAAAGTTGCACAGCAGAGAGGTGAGAGGGAGCGCTTTGATCGGCTGCGTGCGCGTCTCTTCTGCTGGAGGTGATTTGCAGCACTGTTGCTGCTGCGCTTTTTCTTTTTTCCCTATAAGCAGAGCGCTATGCTAGATTAGCATTTAGTGCATTTCCACAGGCTTGTCGACAGCGCAGGGGCCACGCTTCATCATCCGTCTGTGATTCACACAGGCGTTTCAATTGATAATGAGATGGTGCGCTTCTGCAGTGTCGTGCTGAGGCCGGAGAAAGAGAAAGTGCTCTAATAGAAAGCAACCAAGGAACATGGCGAGGCCCTTGGTGAAGACCTTAAATAACCGCTTGCAGGAGTTTGTGTGGCCCGAAGTTAGATCTTATGGGAAAATGGCCCCAAGTTGTCATATAGCATATAAAGATCTATAGAACCACTGCAGACAAGACAATGCAGGACTATTTCAGACAACTAAAATGTATTGTTTTCCTATCCGTTTCAAAACATTAAACAATTACGATAAATTGGATCCATAATATCTGTTTTTATTGTCTATTTTAAGTGCACCTGGGAAGCATATACATCTCAGTCCAGTTATAAAGTAGTCATGTGAGTTAAAAAAAAAAAGAAATCAGTGAAAAATAGCCATAACAAAGTAAGCAGTACATAAAACCGGAAAGATGGCAAAGGCTTCATGCATTGTATCCAATGAATAATAATGAATATGATTAATTTGCATAAAGCAAACTGCTAAATTATAGTTGTTTGCTTTATTTGTTTTTAAAAGAAGTTTCTCATACTGACCAAGGCTGCATTTATTTGATACAAATACAGTAAAAATGTAAATATTATTAACAGTTTTTTAACATTTTAAAATGTAATTTATTCCTGTGATGCAAAGCTGAATTTTCAGCATCATTACTCCAGACTTCAGTGTCACATAATCCTTCAGAAATCATTCTAATATGCTGATTTGCTGCTCAAGAAAC